TTAAATCACATAGATTCATGTATGAACTAGTAAGCAATGTTATGCTTGATTTTAAATTAATGGGGTTCTTTTTATATATAAATATGAAACTGGAATAGCATAAACAGGTCTGATATAGCACATAAGAGTAGCTCGGTAAATCCAAGAAATAATAGCTCGAAATATGAACCGGAGTTAGCTGGGATGGTGAGTTTGAGGACAGCTCATCCATATTAATAGCACGGATCTTTGAGTAGCTAGGTTAGTAGCAGGGCCTGCGAATATGAAGAGCTCGTCTTAGTAGTAGCTCTCTTAATAGCTTGGATGGTGAAATTTTCAATGCTTCAAATTAACCCAAGAAAATGATTTACCTCTCCTAATGTCTTCAAGGCAAACTGTTGGCCAAGAGAATCATTAACTGGATGAACCATGACTGACCTATCACCAGTGATGAGAATATTATCAACATAGATGAACACTAGGAGCAACTGACCATTTTTCATTTTGAAAAATAAAGAAGAATCGGCGACAGATTCTTTAAAATGAAGAGATAATAAGTAGCATCTAGTCTTATAAAACCAAGCCCTAGGAGTCTGTTTAAGGCCATATAAAGACTTCTTTAGCCTACACATAAAAGTAGGATGCCAGAATCAACAAAACCCTCAGGTTGTGTCATGGAAACAGTCTCATGAAGATCCCTATTAAAAATTGCATTGTTGATATCTATCTACTGAATAGTCCAGTTATGAGTGGCAGCAAGAGTGAAGACCAATCTGACGGCGGAGGCCTTAACAACAGGACTAAAAGTTTCAAATAAATTAACACCAGCAGTTTGTTGAATTCCTCTAGCAACGAGCTTTAAATTTATCCATTGAAATGTCAAGTTTATACTTCTTTCTAAAAACCCATTTGTTGTTGATAACCTTCATGTCTAGCGAGGGATCAACCAATACCCATGTATCATTATTAAACTAAGCCTGAAATTCATCCTTCTTACAAAGCCTCAAAAACAGTAAGTGGCTCTGAAACAGGCAAAGAAGTAAAAGCTGCAACGAAGGTTTTCGGCTTAAAAATTCTAGCCTTAGACCTAGTTATCATAGGATGTGATGACTGAGATGAAGAGAGATGAGAGATAGAGGAAGCAAAAGAAGGATTATGAGAGGAAAAAGAAGAAGAAGAAATTTTCAACTCATTTGCTCAATCACTAACTGAACACTTAACTAACTCTCTAACTAATCACTTGCCAGCTAACTGCCAACTCACAATATTTTAACCATAGTTATGCTAATTAATAGTGTATTATTAGGACTCAAATACGTACGACCACCAAAAAAAATTGACAATTGATAAACTCAAACACTTTTAATGTTGGCGTCAGTATAGCTTTGTCTTCGAATAACTGAAACCATTGATCGCATCCTTAAACAGTGTGCATGTCAACAATCTAGCAGTCAGATCATTAAAGAGTTCAAGCAATATAATGGGTATTTTAGTAATTCAACATATATCGAGCTGCTCAGTGCAAAATATGGGGTCGAGCTTAATTCGGGTTCGTGCTCGAGCCGCTCGAGCTCGACTCGAGTTATATCAAACTCGAGCTCGAGTCGAGATTTGACTCGAGTGCTCGCAAGTCGCTCAATTCGTTTGCAACTCTAGTCTCGACAATGTCTCGATCTCTGCAAGGTCGTATAAAGGACTTCTGGCGACATTACAAGGAAAACAATTTGGCAGACATTATTATTATTACTATTACTATTATTATTTTATTATTATTATTATTATTATCATTATCATTATTATTATTATAACTACGTATTTTAATAACACTACTTCGTAGGGTGTTGAGAAGAGGAGAAAAACGAGTAGGTATAATATTTCGCGTATCCTTTCGGTAAAAATTAACCTTTATCACGTTTTTTTCTCCAAAATCATTGCCGAGTGTATAAAAAGTTTGATTTATTTAAACAATCATATAGATTTATGTATAAACAAATCTAAATTAAAATATAGTAATAAAGATTAATTTGGTCACCTATGCTACATAGTAGGTAATTTAATTTGCAACCCTAAAATGAATCACGCATGACTAATTAACCACTTAATCAGCAATTTAATTCTACTAAGTTTGACCGTAGAAAAAGTGTTAATAATTAAGGATATATAAAAACTTTTTACTACTTTTGCAACAAACATTATCTTGTAACTGCCATAGAATCTTTGTGTTTTGTGCAAACATTAATTATTATATTATCTATTAAATTTATATTGCAATACCTATTTAAATAGTGAAATTTTTTTATATTTTAAATTATGTTTCGATGTTTAACTTAAAGTGGTTAATTACATTAATTTTAAATTATTTTAAATTTATATTTACATTAATTTTTTATATTGCAATAAATTATGTTTCGATATTTTAAATAGTAATTATCTTTGTGTTTTGTTCTGTCTAGAATTTATTTTTGTTTACTGCGTCTGCGTGTATTTGGACGGTCAAAATAGTAGTTAATCACGTAATAAACATTCGGTTTCATTAGTTGAAGGTGTAAATATATAGTTAAATATAATTCCACTTAATCCGCAATCTAATAAGTTTCACAAGTTTGACAGTAGAAATGTATTCATAATTAAGAACAAAAAAAAAAAAAA